TCGTTGGTTTTTACCTCTTTATCTTCAACAATCTCAGATCGGGTATTCATGCTTACATGCATGGCTTGCAAGGCTGGGGTTCTTAGTAAGACTTTATCATCATCTCTATATCCTTTTGTATTGTTCCCAAGCTTTCTTTTCTATCTTTCCTATTTCTTTTTTCTCAGTGCTAGTTCTTTTCCTTACTAGGTGCTTTTAGTGAATACTCTGTCTTGTCAAAAAAAAAATCTAGCTTGGTTAAGACATTTTCACTTGCCTGTTGCCAAGCAGCTTGTGTAGCCTGATCATCAAGTCTACTTCGCCCACTGAAAACTGTCCTTTCTTGACATTTGGCTTAAGATAGTTCAACCACCTCATTCTACAGCTTTTCCTGCATCTATTCAAACCTGCAAATTAAAATTAAGAGTCAGTCTGTCAGTGTATACTTTTTCGAGCGTCCAGCTGGTTGAGTATTGTTCTTTGCCTCTTGTGTAGCTGTTCTCAAACACCAAACGTAGAAAAGAGAGACCATAATGTTTGTCGAAAAGATAGGGAGATACTTATATATAAACCTTGGACTACAGGATGAGGATAGCCGTCTTCGGTCCCTAGAAACCAACACTATTTACAAGCATGAACGAAGACATTTAGATACCTGCTTTGAGAGGAATTTGACACCATCTTCCTTCACCATATTTCTCGACGCACTTCCTTAGAAGTATATCCTCCTCTTCGGTCCATGCACCTTTCCTTACTCCGAATGAGCTCACCATAGTGCCTCTTACGTAGTCTACGCCCACCTCATTAGATCTAGCAAGACTTCATTAATAAAGATACAATCACGTGAAAAACATTTGCATGTTGATCACTGACTCTAAAATATCATATATATAGTACTTTTCTCAGCTCAATTTAGTAGTTTCTAACTACAGCGACGTGCATGGTTTGTAACCACATGTGGTTCTGCTTCTGAGGTGTATGGTTCAGAAGATGGAAATTGTTTTGAATTCATCAGCTACCAGTCCAACAATTCCAAATCGTTAAATAACGTTTTCGCCCATCGATTGGAGTTTGGATATCAGTTCTTGACAAAATTTCATGGTCTTTTGGGAGAAACCACCTTCTTACGCAGGATTTTGTTCTAATTATTCCTTGCATCATTTTCTGTTCTTCCTGGAAGTCTACCAGCAATCAATTACCACCTGTGTAACAAAACATACTGTATTTTATATCTATGTACATATATCGCACCACATATGTGAAATTAATTGAGGTAATTATAATTGAATCAGGAATTTCCCTTTATAACCTAATTGACTTCATTTTATTACGATTGGTTTTCTTATCATTAAAAACAAAAATACCTCTTTATATTCCAAAATACTTTAGCTTCCAAGTGAAGTGGTTTTGAATTCTCCCCTAAGCTATATGGCTTCGATCTACGATCACTCTCAACGCTGTTTAATAGATGGAAGGCTCTGGTCAGGACCGACCATGGAGATTTCAAGGCTTGTTTAGCAGGATTACAATTTTGATTAGTAATTTAGACTCTGGTTTCCAGCATGTCAATAGAGAAAGGAACTATATTGCAGATGGGCGGGAAAATTAAGGTCTGCACAGACAGCATGACCTTCTGGCTTGGATTTGAGCTTTGTAACTGTGTAGTTTCTTAAAGTCAATTTCTTGCTGGCTCCTTCCAATAATATTTCATCAACTTTCATAAATAAAAGCAAGGCTTCGATCAATTCAAGCCTTCGAACTTTCTCGTCTCTCCCTCTCTCTCGTATGAGGATTTCTTATAGTTTTGCTATCAGCTGCCATTGGTGATTTTTCCTAGATCACTAGCAATAGTCTACCACTTCTTCATCCCTTGTTTTTTACGTCTTTTTGCTCAACAATATCAGATCGAGTATTGATACTTCCAAGCAAGGTTTGCACTGCACGTGACATATAATATATGTACACATTTTCACTTGCCTATTGCCAAGCAACCTGTGTAGCTTGATAATTAAGTCTTCTTCGTCCTCAGAATACCGTCCTCTCTTGATACCTGGCTTGAGATAATTCAAACACCTCAACCTGCAGCTTTTCCTGCATCTATTCAAGCCTGCAAATGAAAATTAAGAATCAGTGTACAGTTTTTCGAAGTGTCCAGCTAGTTGAATATTCATTGTTGCTGTAACCAAACACGGGAGACTATACTCGATATAGACATATAAACATGTATAGACATAGAAACCTAATATTCATTTTTTTGTTGTTAAAAAAACACAACTATTTGATACGTGTCAAAGCACGAGTTAAATAAATAACCAGTTAGCTATAACACACAAAGTTCTCCTATTATATAGAGCTAATTAGTGTTTGGAAAACACTATATTTATAGGGACATTTAGACTGTTCATTGTGCAATTAAAGAAAGAAAAAAATTATTTATCCTCGTTTAATTTAGAAATGATAAATGAATTAAAATAAAAAAATCAGTACATTATTCATTAAATTTTATAATTTAGACTATAAGTTTACATGATGTTCCGGATTAATATAACTTTATTTACTATAATTATAAGTTTATCATAATTAATTCTTTATTTTATTTTTTTAACTAAATATTATTTTTTATATAAGAAATAATTTGATACCATAACAAAGCATGAAAACCAAGACTGATTCTAACTAGAAGTCCTTTGAGTTTTATTTTTAAGCTACTACTAGCTTTAATATAGTCATATTACCCTAATTTTTAACCATAAATGGCCAAACATCCTAGTCATCTTCTTCATCAATACATATCCATTTACTAAAATTACATTTAGTATCACTAGTTATAACTAGAAGTCTTTTGAGTTTTATTTTTAGCTAATACTAGCCTTAATTTAGTTACATTACCCTAATTTTTAACCATGAATATTAAAAAATAATATAAATTATATATCAGAAACTCATCTAACAGTTTAAGTTATTAGGTTAAGATGATTCTTTGATATAATATCAGAGTCTTAATTTATTACATTCGTAGTCATTAACTATGGTACATTTTTATTGCACTTTAAGGTATAAATAACTTTATGACCTAGGTATCCAACTACTACTGAGATCATGGTGTCAATTTTATAGCTGAGGAGAATATAGAGTTTTTCTAGAACATTTCTTCTAGGTAGTTGACTTGTTTTCCTTTGGATAGTTTCTAAAAAGACTTCATATGTTTTTCGATTTAAACTAATATTTTATTTGTACTTGTTGAAAACTTTTAAGCTTCGAGGTTTTAACAATATTCATGAAGTTGGCTAAAAGTGTGGCCTAGATTTGTTTGTCTCACCAGGACCTACGTAAATAGGAGAAACCATGTTCTGACTTGGAATAATAAAACTGCTGCATATCCTTCTAATTCTTTTATAAATAATGCACATGTAGTAATAATAGTATATCATTCCTTCCAAGATGATTTGAAATATTTTTTTATCATTAAAGTAGTCTTTCATGCTGAAGGAACTTTATTAATATCATTAACAAGATCATGATCTTTTAGTTTTAGTACTCTGGTCTGTTCTCTCATTAAAAATTACTTATTAAATAATAAATGATAGCTTTTTTTTATCATTTCCCCTAAACTACGCCTATAATGATATGATAAAAAATCTAAGTAGTTTAAGAGTAAGTTTATGAGTTGTAATTAATTAATCTTTTAGTTCTAGCAATTTAGTCCATTCTCTCTAACTAAGGTGATAATAGCTTATACCTGGTGCTTGGGAGGTCAAGATGGCCGGTATATGCTAAAGGGTTTTTTTTTTTTTTTGTAGATTTGAAGACTCTCAGATACATAAATATCTTTTTAAAGAGAGAAATGCAATGATATTTTCGAGAGATAAACTTTCAAAATATATGTGCTAAAAATGTTGAGAATGAAGAAATTGTAAACTTGATGCTTATAGGATTCATGTAGTATATATACCCCATAAGTCTTTTTTTATAGACATAATGAACTAGAAAGTAATTTTCTTTTAATACTATTAATGAGTAATAAATATCTACTATACATTATTAATATTAATGGAAAAATAATAAGTTCTTATAAGATTTATGTTGAGAGATGAGTATCCTTGATTTTAACATTTTATGTTAAGATTTATAAGAATAAAATAAATGAAGTCTTGTGACCTACTATGAGCCTTATTAAGATTGTTAGTTTTGTATTTATTTGGGTTTGACATGATGTCGAGCTTAAAGATATTGAGTTTGGTTGCTCGCTACATGAAAATGTACATGAGCTCAATGCATAGCTGAGTCTAATAATATTGAAATTGGTAACTCGTCAAGCCTAGGTATACATGAGTTTAATATATAATTGAACCCAATAATATTAGATTTAACAACTTGTTAGATCCACATATACCATGTGTTGAACAAAAAAAAATATTGAGTTATTATTTTTAAAAAATTTTCTCTTTTAAATATGAACTTTGGAAAAAAATCCATCCAAATCCCTTTTTTTTTACTTTGAGCCTTGAATGCTATAGCCATAACAAATCCAGGGTCGTCGCACGGACTCGCTACTTCTAAAAAAGTATACTAACGATATACCCGTAAAATTAAGTTAAATTTAGTTCCAAACATGACAAGTAATCGCTACACTTGGCAATTTATAGACTTGAGTAGTTGTGCGAATTGACCTCTTGCTATCCTCTCCATAAGACCACGCAACGAACCATTGCCCAAGATCAGCCAGCGTCATAACTCACGAAAGTACACAGTTATGCTATTACAGAGCGGAAACATCAATCAATTATCGAAAATTTAACAAACATGACCCAAGATTAGGGACCAAGTCTAATAAGTTATGACGGTTCCAGACTTCAACTTGAATAGGAGTCAGGACTAATAATTTATGTTCGTCCAAAACCTATCACACTGTATAAAGGCCAGTTTTTTTTTTTTTACAGGAGTTGAGACCAGCATTTATGAGTCATCACATGCACCATTAATACCCCTACCAATTTAATTATTAACCAGGGAGGGAATTTCTCACCTTCCAAAAACCCTAATGGCAATGACAACGGTATTCAAATCGTTTTGAAAACTGTAATCCCTCTTCGCAAGAGAGAGCCGAATCCATCTAAAAGAAATCCAGTCCCAACAATGAGCAGCTGGAAGGAGTTGAGAGTTGCAGATACCATATATGAAGAAGAATATGAACATTCTTCTTCCCCCCCTTCTCTTTCTCTATCTGATCCTTCTTCTCCTCCAACACCCCTCCACTCTAGAGTAGAGTCATGGTATAATATTTTCTTTTACACATATTTTTTTTATTCAATGTTATTTTTTTTTCATTATCTGTTAAAAGAACATCAATATATATATAGAGACACAAACACACACTTGTGTATGAAAATACTTCTTTTTGTTGTTATAAATAAATATAATAGGTCACTGGCGACAGGGCGAAAAACGGATGTCTTGATCTATGTCAAGGGAACTTGTTTCCATCTGCACAAGGTCAGTTGATTCATTTGGTTTATTGTTCATATTTTAAGTTGGATTTACCAATTTATTTTACTTTATTTTTCCAATGAATTATTTAGTGCTCATGAAAACAATAACCAGAAATTGAAGTTAGTGAGAAAGACTTGGAAGATAATTCAAGTAAACTCAACTGGAAATTAAATAATGAGCATGAATATTTGTTGCGAGGTGTTGCAAGAATACAAGATTGGATCCTATGCCACTATGATTAGAATGGGCTGTAGCTAAAACCGAGATGCAATTTGGCCAATGAGGTATAAGATCGATAATGTTCAAAACATATTCAATGTGATTCTATCGCACGGGAGTGGGAAATGATTAAAAGAAAACTACCCTAAATTTTGCTAAGAGAGTACCACCCCTTCCGCAGAGAGGGTCTAGGTTCAAAGCCCTTAGATTTTTCACTGATGTACAAATCCCTCGATCGATCTAGAACCACGAATGTGTCTGTTACTCTAATTTTAAGGTAGATTTTTTAAATAATAAACAAGACAATAGCAAGTAGATGCTATGGTTGTGTAATAATCAGATACATTTCTTCCATGCAAATTAAGTTTTCCCACAAAATTTAGTGAATCTATGGAGGGTAAGACGGAAGTTTGCACTCTCGGAAAACCAGTTATTGCTTATTTTATTTTAAAGATGGTGGCTTATTGTGCGATTGAAGCAACTTTGTCTTGGATCTCTTCATTTTTGTCCAAAAATCATGAATAGTAGCGCGTTTCGCAATTAATGAAAAGTCATGGTGCCGTACAGTAGTAAGCATTTATCGAAATCTTTTTCATAGGATCCGCTGACATCAAGGAGCTCTTATTTAAGACGTCAACTGGCGGGTCTCTCCGAAATAACCCTGACATTAAACATAACGCCCGAAACATTTGCCCTAGTAGCAGACTTCTGTTATGGCACCCACGTTGTCATAACGCCGTTCAACGTTGTTCCATTACGCATAGCAGCTGAGTTACTTGGCATGACGGAGACGAACGGGAAACATGAGCAGAACTTGAATCAGATAACGGAAACGTATTTCCTTCGGGCCATCACCTTTGAGAGGGAGTTAGTGAGGGTTATTTTCTGCTCCTGTTTGCGTTTGCTTCCAGAGGCTGAAACGACAGCGTTTTTGGTCAGTAGGTGCGTTGAAGCATTAAATTCGACGGGAGAGAGCGATGAAATGCTGGATGGTTGTGTTGACGACGTTATAAACCTGGCAACCGACGATTTTCAAATAGTCGGTGAGTGTATGCAATGTAGGTTTGAGAGCCATGACGCGCTGTATAGGATTGTGGACCTTTACATTCAGGTACTTTCGCTGTTCACATTTAATTAGTTTTGAAATGCCTTCTCTTTTGTCTTTTATTTAGTGAAAGGTCAAACTTAAAAATAAAAGCAATCTTTCTTAGGAAGGCAATATTCGAACTTCTGTTTTATATTCACGACGTTTGCACTGAGGATTTTCCTTAATTATATATGAATGAATTAGAGAAAAGTAAAAGATAATTAGCATTATACGAAAAAGAAAAATATTGGATGAGTGCATGGGCAACCTCATTTTTAAGGACTAATTATATATATTTGGCATATAGCTGTGTCCTCGAGAAAATAAGAAAAAAGCAAATTCCTTCATAATTTGTTCAAATCGTCATAAAATCCTTTTTCTGCGGTATATATTGGTGTGTGCGCCATCTTCAGGAACTTGAATCTGGTTCCTGATCTTAATTCGTTCATGTCTTACAACTTGCACAGCTCCTGAAGGGTTAATTTATTTTCCTCCTAGTTTGCTCTTCTCCCTCTCCTGCTTGGTAATCAGGGGGTAAATTTCTTTTTGTCGTGACATCTTTTTGTTTTTCACCACAGGAACATAGTAGCACGATAACAGAAGAGCAGAAGATTGAAATCTGCAATTTCATAGACTGTGATAAGCTCTCAACTCAATGTCTCATACATGCAGTGCAAAACCCTAGACTGCCTTTAAGATTCATTGTACGAGCCATGTTGGTCGAGCAGCTAAACACTCGCCGGACAGTCTTGACAACCCCCACCACAGCTAATCACCATTATACACGCAGTCATCAAACTGGAGGCTCCATGACTCTGGGCTCAATCCTCCGACGAGATGCAGCAGTACGAGAAGCAGCTCAACTCAAGGTAGAAATGGACTCTACAAACTCACGAATTGAGAGCTTGGAAAAAGAGCTGTCTCGCATGAAAAAGCTTTTGCGAAAGTCTGAAAAGAAAAGAAGTTTAATGGAGAAGAAGCCTCTACAGAAGTCAGAGGTGGAGACAAGTGCGGTGATGAAGGAAAAGGGTTCGCATAAATCTGAGAAGCTTTTGCTTGAATCTGAAGAGGAAATTAGAAGAGTTCTGGAGTCAAGCATGCATAAAATTTCGCACAAGTCTGTAATGGAAGAAAGAAGTTTGGCAAAGTCGTCATCTAGGTCTGCGAGTTTCCACCATGAATTGAGGGACGCTAATAAGATAGAAAAAGGTGAAAGAGGATCTGCTTCTTTTTCCGGGTTTCGGCCGCATTTTGGGAGAGAGAAAATGGAAGGGTCTTCACGTTCAAAGTTTACCGGTAATGAATGTCCACGAACTTCCAAGAATAATATAAATGGCAAGGGATTGATTGACAGATTAAAACGCACATTATGGGTGTCCAAATCCGATTCCAAGTGCAACGGTAAATATACAAATACAAATGATGGAAATGGAGAAAAAGACGTTGGCGTGACCAAAGACGAAGCTCCATTTCACAAGAGGACTCGCTCTACTGGGTAGCTCTTTTGTTTTCTTGGCTTTCTACCCCCTTAAGTTCTTGATTTTTTTGTCTAATCCATTTAATTCCTAACATAAACGAATAGGCTTCCATTTAAGATCTAGATTTGTAATGTTAGTGGATATAAAAGTAGTTTTCTTCTTCTTCTTCTTCATCTCTTTTCTTTCCCTCCTCTAAATTATAGGCAACTTTGAAAGGATTGATCCCATCATAATTCTTGGATCATGATCTATTATCTTTTGATAAATTATGACATTAAAATTTAAATCAATAAATAGGATTTGATTGCATAACTTTCTTTGATTAAATCTTTAATCAAAATAGAAATCAAAATTTAGTATTGTAATCCTTCTCTTTCCTTTAGAAGACTAACACTATATATTTCAAAAATAAAAAATAAAATAAAAATCCTAAACATGAATTGTACTGATATATATTCAAAATAAACATCTTAAACAAAAGACATGTGATTATTAATTATGCAATAAAGATTGACAAATGGCTTACTAACAAGATGATTAGCGGCACCATTAATATTCATTACATCATGCACAACTGATAGTGGCAAACTTCAACACTATCTTTTTGCTAAAAACAAACTAAGTAAATTTTTTATTTGCTGAAAAACTAAGTTGACTTGAGAGATTTCATGGTAAAGCATTCTAGAAGATCCTTGTAATTCTTCCATTGGAAGAAGCTTTTTTAATTAGTCTTTGTAAAAAAATAAAAATAAATCAAAATATTATTAATTTTAAATTATTGATTTTCTTATTTGAAATTGATTCTATTAGTAATCCTAATTATGAATTTATTAGTTATAAATTGACTTGTATGTCGATTACTTTTTCTTTCTCGAATAACGAGGTCTTGGAGTTAGAATTTCAAGAGATTCTTCTTCATTCTAGTTACCTAACCTTTATCATTTCACAATTTCAATTCAAATTTTCTCCGTAATTTATCTTTCTTATAAATTTATTTTTTAACTTTATGTCTCTACTAAAATTTTAAATCAATGAAATATTCTATTAATAGTTAGACAATCTGTTAATAGTTAGACAATAAATCTATCAACATAATTTTTACAAACAAGCTTACAAACACTTATTGTTCATTGAAAAAATCTTTCTCTGTAATTTATGTTATGTCGGTCATTTAATCGATAACATAATTATCGATAGATTTATTAAAAAAAACATGCCAAACAAAAAAATTATCTATTTTATTTTATCAATATTTCCATATATGAATATGACATTTCACCAACAAACAAGATTGTTTGTAATTCTATCAGTTGTTTTTATGATATTACTAATGATTTAATTTTATTGGTGATTAAAATGTGGTAACGACATTTATAGTAATTCAATTCCAACTTTGTAGAATATACTAATGGACTTAATATGTTGATAAGATTGTTAGTAATTTTAATAAAATATTTTTTCTATAAAAAATCTAATAAAATGAGTAGAAAATAATTAAAAGAAATTAAATTAAAATAGAAATAAAATAGTTATTATAAATTTATAAATTTATCAATTCAATTGCAATTAATCAAAATAATTGCGTTGGAACGTAGAGGAGGTGAGTCTTTGTTAGGATGGTGAGGCCAATTTAAGGGAGCACTTGTATCACTCATATGTGATTTAGCTTCATATACAATCACTAGAGTTCGGACATCTCATCACTAAATCTTTCTATCTTAGTAGCAAAATGGGTCATTCGAGCTTCAATTTGTTGGTTTAAGATTGCCTCGAACTCTAGAGTTTGAGTGCTCAAAACCGATTACAATCATTTAACGATTGAAACACTTTGGGTCATCAACAAGTCCTCGACTGTAGTGTTTGAACTAATATAAACCCAATGTCAATTGGTTCGACCAAAAGATCCTGCCTCCAACCACAATTCCAAATTGAGCTCTGGATGGGTCGAAGGATTTTTCCTATATCTCTCCTACAATAGAGAGTTATATATTTCTTGAAACAAATAGTTAGCATATTAAAAAAAAAACTAAAAAATAAATTATTAAAATCCAACATACCATAAAGTACAAAGCTCGACTATTTATGAGCTATTGCACCCTTTTTTGATGGTCATCATTTCACACATGTATTTCTACAAAAAGTTCTATCATTCTTGGTATGCATCCAAGAATCATAGCCTGCAAAAGGAAAATGTTGTTAGTTAAACATATTCATATAAAAGAATAATTATAAAAAATATATGTAATAAAAAAAATCTTACTATTTACTTTGCATGTGAAATAAACAAAATAGATTCATTGGTGTGCATGATAATGGAACCGTGAATTTGCTTGTTCCAATTCTCCACACTAGATTGCGACCATCATGTAAAATACTCAGACATTATGTCCTAAATATATTCTACCCATGCGAACCCAAGAAGTATAGAGGTTTGAAACCCTTACAAACTACCTCATCTTTCTAGCCTAGAAGCTCTATTTGTAGAACATATTTTCTGACTTTTTTAGCCCGATACTAAAAATCATGTAACATATATGTTAAAAATAAATTGTTAGTTAATAAATAAAAAATAAAATTTTAACATTTGGATAAATATTTATTTTGATTTCAATTTTATCTAGTTACAGTTTGATTCTCATAAACCCTTATAATAATAGCGTTGTCAGCTTTATCCCTGTAAAAGTTTTCCTTGCAGTTCAAATTTTGTAAAAGAATTAGTTCATTAATATTAATAAATTAAATAAATTAAAATAATTAAATAATTATTTAAGTTTATATTAACCCTAAACTTTTTAAACCATGAATCAATTATAGGTTTCCATTCAGGATTTTTGAAAACTCGACTCATTTGTAAAAATAACATTTCCATCAATAATTTAATCATCGATATTATCGTTTAGGCAGCTTCAACATTTGTAAATCTAAAATTGCATTCATTAATTGAAATTATTTTTCAAAAGTTATTGATTGTTCTTTATCTCTAAGTAGTGTAAGAAAGGAAATGTAACTCCTTAGAAACTGAATAAATGAATTTAATTAATTAAAAAAGAGGCCATTAGTGAGGCATGAAATTATTAACTTAAAATATGATGGTAAACATAAGTAGAAAGAGAAAGACAAAGTGTATAAAGATGAGAGTAAGGCATAATGTGAGAAATATAAAGAATTAAGGACTAAATTAAAAAGACATGAATAAATGATGGACCAAAACAAAAAAAGAAGAAAAATCTATCAGTCCTAGAAAGAAAAGGGGGCTAACAGCAGAAATCAAAAGAAAATAGAGAGGGAGAAGGGGGCTACTTTCTTCTCTTTATCACTTTTCACTTGAAGATCTTGTAGAGAGAAACACTTGCGAATAAAAAATGTTGAAGCTGATAGAAAAAATGTGATAGCATTCACCACGACCTAAATACTTATATAAAAAAAGGCTATAAAGGCAACTCGACACTTAGGAATGAAAAGTAACTCGTACGAACTTACTCGAGTAAATTGGAGAGGGTGATGTAGATTTATGTAGATTTGATATAGTATTTGCCTCTCAAAAATGTTTTTGAATTTTGTTTTAGAAGGATCCGATGTGTATCCTAGTATTTGGGATTTGATAAAGAGTAGGTCACCTATAAAAATATGTCTATTTTTTTAATTTCAAAATGAGTAGGTCACTCATGAAAATAGATCAGTTTTAGGGAAGCATAGAGTTTTGCTGAAATTTTTTTTTGGAATTTGAAAAAAATAGGTCACCCGTGAAAATAGATTAAGTTTTGAATTTTAAGATGGGCAAGTCACCTATAAAAATAGATCAATTTCAGGGAAGCACAAAAGCTTGCTGAAATTCTTTTAGAGTTTAAAAAAGGGAGGTCACACATGAAAGTATGCCAATTTTTGAATCTCTAAACGGATAGGTCACTTGTGAAAATAGACTAGTTTCAGGGAAGCCTGTAAGCTTACTAAAATTCTTTTTGGAATTTGAAAAGAGTCAGTCACCCGTGAAAATATGCTAATTTTTTTAATTTTAAAATGAGCAGGTCACTACTAAAAATAAATCATTTTCATGGAAGCATGGAGGCTTATTGAAATTCTTTTTTGAATTTAAAAATGCTAGGTCAGCCTTGAAAAGAGGTAAATTTTTTTAATTTTAAAAGGGGCATGCCATTTATGATAATAAGACCATTTTCTTTTTAAAAGCAAAGTCTTTGGAACTCCAAGATGGGTGGATCACCCAACAAGACCAGCACATAATTTTTTTTTATAAGCTTACTATTGCATATGTGCGACGTTATGATGGTCGTCCTCTTAGGTTGGGATTTCTATGTAATGGGGGAAAGAATAAGGAATTCTTTTTTCTTATCTGTAAAAAAAAGAAGAAGATGGAGTCCCCACCTAGCATTTTGATTATTAGAAATCCTAACTAGTCTTAGAGTCTCAATAAGGGGAGTGATTATGTATATGGAGCACATATCACCCCTAGTACACCTCACTTAAGGTAAACTATATTGTTTGTTTATCTATTAAAAAAATACCTTATTAAACTAATATATTATTGTGTTTTCTAACTATTGATCTTTCCAAAGTTTAAGAAAAATCATCCTCGATCAAAAAATTCTTATGTATGGTTAAAAGCCAACAATTCTAAAGTCAAAACATATCTATTTTTTTTTAATATCAGGAATATATCTTACATATAAGTTTATAATATTTGATATTAAGACAAGAAAAATAAAATTTTTGGTATTTTTAAAATGTAGGTCAAGTTCTCATGGCTTTAATAGACTAGTTACTAAATCTAGAAATATATGTACAAATACAAAAATTATTTTTATGATTTTTTTAATATGCTAAAATATGTGAACATAATTTATTTTTGAGAGATTTGGCTACATGCAATTTAAAGTAAAGTTGTATTTTTAAAAGAAAGATTTTTGTTCTTTTACTCGAAGCAAATTGATTTATTTAATACCGAAAAAACACCTCACATACAAGTCATAATTTCAAATATTAACTAATAAAGGGTAAAAAAACTTATTATTATCTTTTTTAAAAAATACAAGACTAGAAATTTTTCTTGGGATGCATTCTTAAAACAAAACTAAGACAAAAAAATGTATCTTTTTTGATAAATTCTGCCTTTCCAAACCAATCTTAAATATTAAGAACTTAGTCGAGGAT